CAGTATCGATCACTAATCATCCCCTGATAGTTATTTTGAAGATATATTTCATGTACAGAATTGACCTCTCTACAGATTTATTATAAGTATAAACTGCCAGTAAAACATATGGACTACTTTATTTATATCACAAGTGAAATCTTAATTATTATTACTGACGGGATTGCTACCATGTACCTTAATTTTGAGTTTCCGATATTTCGGCACTGTTGCAAGCACCATGTGAAATCTTATTTGATGCATAGAGATCAAAGCTGTTTCCTCCCTGAACGCTTAGGCAAAATAACGAATATAATATTAGTAACAGCTGAAATTTATTATTTACATCTTTCATACACAAAGAGAGACTTTTAATGTAAATACTGTCACAATCGCTTTTTTTTCAGAGGTCAGCCAGCCCTAATAGTGCCAGTGCTAACATCATATTGGATGCAGAATTTTAAGCCTGTGGTCGTTGCACTAGTATTGCTTGCTGTTCTCGCCATTCTGTCCACGGTATGATGATCCCGCGTTGATTGTGTCCAAATAATTGGATTCCTCGTATATGACAAACATGCAAATACTGTACAACTGCGTAAACCCAAACATGTGCCTTAATCAGTTGTCATAAGATCGATCGGACGATTCTGGGTATGCGCATACACCTACGTTATAAGTGGTCGTGATTAATACGGAACGAATTATGCGTGAAACGTGACGGTTTCGCGTTTTGAATTCCGATAATTCGAAACTCGAAAGACTCGGCTTAATCAGTCTGGGATTGACGGCAAATATGAGTATGTTAACGAATTGATGCAATCAGAGGAAACGGAGTATTCCGATGTAACTATATTTTTCTGCATTTTGAGATAATTTAACGGAAAGAGGAAGTTTAAATTTTATCTGCCTAAAGAGTTTAAATGCTCTAAGAGTCAATTTAAGTTGTGTAAGTAAACTACTTTCATGATCACTAATAAGTACTTGATTGTACTGTAACGACACTAGATATATGTCATTCATAAATCGATAATAGCTGTCAGCGATATTTTATATTTCTATAGCTAATAATCTTTAAAATAATGTACTGAAGTTTGTATTGCACAAATTACTCATAGTCCCGTTAGCCCCTCGTGTTAAGCTAAATATGATTATGTCGATATTTTTGGGGCTCTGGTCATGCTTATTTACTTTCGCAAATCAATACAGTAAATACTCCCCCATAAACTAATGTTAGCCTAGTGGTTCTGAATGGTGGTGGCACTTAGCTATTTTCAACCGACTTCAAAAAAGGAGGAGGTTCTCAATTCGACCCGTATGTTTTTTTTTCTATGTTTGTTACGCGATAACTCCGCCAATTATGAACCGATTTGAACAAATCTTTTTTCGGTGTATAGGGCTCAAGGGTGGTCCCATTTAAATTTAATAATAGAAAAAACAACCCCCAATGGTGGAAAATCGGGGATGAACTTTTTTATACGCAATATCTCCGCCGATTATAAATCAATTTGAACGATTATTTTTTTGTTGAATAGGTATTATCAAAAGGGTGGTTTCATGCGAATTTGAAGAAAATATTTCACCCCCAAGGGTGGAAAATTGGGGGTGAACTTTTTTATACGCAATATTTTTAATTTTTAGTTTTTTTTGTGTTCACGCATTTGAAGTCGGTTTTATTTTTAAAAAAAGTTAATTATCCATAATATTCTCAGGGCCATAAACACTGTAAAAGCTAGCTTCAGTGTTCAGTAAGTCCATTACAGTTTTCCGGTCCATACTACAGTTTAATGAAATTTCAGTTCTCGCTGAAAAACTCGGTTAGCGGCAACTCACGCGGAAACGGATGGAGGAACGGTGTTCCGATGAAACTTATTACGAGAGCACTTCCGGTGGAGGAGCTTAGGACTTTGATTGAAAAGGTTTTTAATAATTTTAGCTACCTACTTACTAATTGTTAGAGAAGTAAAGTGATTATTGAACCTGAAAAAATCACGGAAAAAGGAGAGCTGATATTTATATTTTTGAGATTTTTAAAAAATAATCTTTTTTTATATGGTATAGGTATGCACAAAATTGCAAATTAGTTACCGGGTTAGCTTGCCCCTCCTTTTAAAGCATAGTATGTAAATTATAAATATCCGAACAGCAGTGGTCGTGACGCGCTCTTTACCGTCACGAAATTACAATAAGCGAATAGCATTTATTTATTTATTTGTTTCATTGTAAAAGTTTGAGTCTTCTTTTTTTTTACCACATAAAATTATTTCTTACTTTCAAGAAGTTTATTGCTATGTGAAGATGTGCTATATTTTGTAACGTGCAGCTTCAGCTTTACACCGCACCGTATGACCGCTGCTAATACTTCGTCAGTTTGAAAGGGGCGCTGTATTGCGAGTGACAGCATCATGCATATTCAGCCGCCCTGCCCTAGGGCGGGCTCGGAAAAACTGCAAAAACAGAATCCATGTTTGACGAGCAGTCTCGCAAAATTTTAGCGGCGTGGTGATTATTCTGGGTTACCATAAAAACAACATGAGTTGCTTTAATTAGATACGTTAATTCTGTTTTAAACTTTCATGGTCACTATCATAATTAACATAAGGTGTAATTTTTTGATAGGTTGTATTTGTGACTTGCTGACTGAACTATAGAATGAGCTAGCATAAAAATGACTTGGCTTTAAATGTTTTTAAGGGATTCTTAATATTTTTTTGATTTTGAGGTCAACTGGTGACCTAAGTTATAAATATAATAATAAATGAAGTGTTTCAAAAAGGGGCGCGTAACAGAATTTAATTCTATTGGTTAAAATTCACGCGGGCGCAGACCCAGCAAGTAGCCAGTAACTTATATTCCTTATTTTTTGTAAAGAAAAAATAGTGAACTTTCCTCAATATATTAATAAATCGGCGTTCAAAAACTTTGTGCAAAATATATCCAACCCAAATCCATTTATGCTAATACTTTACTCGTATGAATTTACATTGGAATCATATTTGTGGCTATCCACTTTAAACAAAGCGTCAGATGAGGCTGAAATACTGGGCGCGCGTGGCAAACGCTAGGGCGGGCGGGACAACCAAACTGGCGTACGGACTACTTTACGTTGCACTTGGATGCGCTCTGAATAGTAAAAATACAGTTTTACGTACTTCATACAATCATGAAATGCATGTAAGTATGCATTTGGGAGGATATTTTTGTATACACTTTATTTCTCTAGAGGTCCAAACAAATAAGATATGTTGGTACTTACAGTAAATTTTCTGTACGTAAAATCATAGTTCAAGGAAAGCTTGTTTACTGAATACTTAACCGTAATCATACTCTACTCACTTGTAAGTGCTAAAATTAGAAGACTTTTTGTATAAAACTGCAACGGATTTTTTCAGGCTTAAAATAAAAGCTTAAAGTATGCACTCAGGCTTTAGTCCTTTAGCTATTACAGCCATTACAAGACATGCTAATTCAGCGGAAGAAAAAACCGGCAGCGAAACTAAAGTCTTCATAATTTATCGCCGCGAAATAACACTTGGACGCATTTCAAATCCCGACAAAGCGTTGCATAAAACTACAATACTGGGCGGGCGCCGCAAACTGGGCGGGCGGGCCGAGCGAACGGATATACGGAACACTTTACGATTATTGCTTCCTCCGCGCCCTCCAGTGACACTAGTCGCACTGAATACCGCTTTTATTGTTTATTATTCTTTTAAATGGGTAATGCAGAGAGCTGAGAGCAAATATTCTCGTCGAGTACCCTGTGGAAAGCTTTGAGCATACTTTATGCTTAATAACGGATTTATTGTTATATTGTCTGCGGTTTTCTATTCAGTCTTTCTATTAGTGATGATAGTTTGCCTTTTTAAATACTTAGCTAATGTGAAATTAATTCAAACCGACAACATAACAACTCATTATATAGCCTTTTTAATACACGTCATGATGACATTATCTTTTTAGTGTAGACTGCACAATGGACAGAGTCGTGAAATTCAAAAAATAAACGTCATGTTNTCAACTCAACTTAATTAAAGATTTTGATTTAATAAAATCTTCTTCTGAAAAGTTTTGAGTAAAACCTTACGCAACTTTGCTAAGCAGTGTACCTTTAATGTTAGACCATTTCTTATTGTACATATTAAAAGATAGACGGAGGGGTGACGTGTTCCCTCAAAGAGCCTCTCCGCAATGCTACGACGCTAAACAGTGCTACGACCGTAGTCTCGTAGGCTACGATATATCAAAGAGTATAGATGCGTATCTTTGAATACAGAGTATCTTTATGGCATCCTCCGGTATCCATATAAGCCACTTTTTCAACTGAATAGCCCCAGAAGTACAAAAGGAGAACTAATGCGCTACTAACTATCAATAGGGAGAGAATTTATCGTCGTACCATCCCCTCTTTACGAAGAAAATATTGGTCTTACGAAGTACCCAGACGTGGTTTGTGAATGCCGTCTTTTGTGGGTAGGGTGCGGTGTGGTGGGGTAGTAGGTTAAAGGCGGTAGCGTTTACTTCATAGCTTGACGGAATGCAATTAGTTTTTACTTATTTTAGCATCGTGTTTCTAATATTCTTCTTCNTCTCAATTAACTATTTAGACGACGAAATTGCCTAACTATTTATGCCTATAACATATTTGTAGTATTACTGGTTAATGATTGTAACGAGTTGAAAAAGTACTGTTTTTGCGCCAAACGGCGTAAACGCTCTTAAGTATTGGAAAAAAAATGTAAATTCATTTCAGTAAACAAAGGGCCGCATTATCACAACAATTTCTAGATCAAACATTGAAACCGAATTAGTCGAAGGCCTAAAAGGTTTTCGATTACAAAATCACCCGTCAATCGGCTGTCAATCGGAACAAAAAGCATAATTTCGCTCGATGCAAAATTGTCCCAATTATTGTTCGACTTCAAAGCCAAATATGACGGGTCTATTGCCATTATTTCGCGATTTCAAATATTCTCTATACAGCCATTATGGTCAGGTTTTATTCCTCAGAAGTATTTGGCATAATGTGGCTGCAGGTCGTTTTGTTGGGGCTATTTTTCCCGTCGGCCATTTTAGGGTTAGATCAAAGGGCGGTGGAGTTTTCTGTGGACTACTTCAGACACAGAAATGCCAAATTTGTTTGCTTGCTTACGTGTGGGGACGATACTTGTGAGATGATTTAATAATTGTGTTATATCTAAATTAGGCGGTTATCACACTGCGCCGCGCTCCGCCGCGGAGCGCGTGGCGACAGATTTAATCATTGTATGCAAGTACCTCAGTTTGTATAGAATACACGCGCGGCACTTCACACTGACAACACGTCCGCGCGCGTGATTTTTTATATGAAAATCACGCGCTCCGCGGCGGAGCGCGGCGCAGTGTGATAACCGCCTTAATGGAAAAGTTCAGGCAAAGGGCACAAGAGATCAAACACTAGTGTCAAACATTGCTCATTTGAATTTATCACTTGAATTGATGGCTAAAATAATGTCCCCTTCAAAGCAAAGAACCATATTCTAGCTAGCTATAGTCCAAGCTTTACTTAGGTAGGTCATAATTTTTTGGGACAATTTATTTGTTAATTCTTACAGGGAATCGCAATTTCGTGAAACTAGCTGCAAAACATCACGCCAGGGTGTCCGTCAGTAAGATTGACCAGTCAATAAGTAAACTTTCTTTGGGCTCATGTCTACAGCAAAAATTTTTCTCTGTCGGAGTGTTGGTCGACCCCACATGTCCCAAGTTTAAACAGGTCATGGATTATGTGAGTAATTATTTANGGGGTAGTAGGTTAAAGGCGGTAGCGTTTACTTCATAGCTTGACGGAATGCAATTAGTTTTTACTTATTTTAGCATCGTGTTTCTAATATTCTTCTTCAAAAATTAATAGTTAGGGTTTTTGTACTTGAGGAATGAAATTGCTGTAGTATTTTTCTTCGTAAATGAAATAATGACGATCTTTTTTATGTTTTTGAAATGTTTTTAAACACCTAAGATAAGGGATTAAGACAAAAAATGTGTTAGACTCTTTATTGTGATACAAAATGTATACAAACAAAAAAAAAGACCAATAATTTTTTTTTGCGTAAAATATGAGGATTACCTAATTAAATGGTGATCTTATTACTAGGAAGCGGTCTCTTCCAGGCAGCCCGTTGAAAGGACATAATTTACTGGAATAAAAAACAGGTACTAACTATTAAAAACGCTTGCACCCTCAAACTTACACCATTCTCCCGTGAAACTTTGTGAAGCATTGTAAACACGACTTCTCTTGCTATTAGCACAAAGAAGTGAATGATGACGAAAAAAACAACTCGCGTTGTTGTCAATCGGTCTATTTTGCAGGAACTCTGGAACGGCCGTGACGTCACGGATACGCTCGTATGCGATTTATGGGTAAAGGTTTGGAGCTGTTTGCCAAGTTTTTTCGTGATATACAGGCTGTTTTTTTGACGAACAGTTCATGCGAGGTTAAAAAATGTCACAAGATTCAGAGGCGATTTTATATGGGACTCAAATTGCATCAAAGTTATCTTTTGTTCTAGCTAGGAATCAAAACGTATCATACGGAAAGTAAAGAACTTGTAAAAAAACTAAAATACGTACATTTCACTTCTATCAATGAATAGTGTCGCCTCTAAAAATTCAATTTGTAAAAATCTTGAAACTATCGAAGCTGGGACTCCATTACCATTTGTATTTTATTTTTCAAACTTTATCATTGCGCCATTAACTCACCCTGTATGAAATAATATTCAAACCGTATTGTTGGTATAGGTAATATTTTTTCAAAAGAAAAGTTTTATCAAGTTATGTGTTATTGTTAACCCTATTTCCATTATTTTGTTTGTCAATACTTATGATATATTTAGGAATTATTATTATTAATATAAATGTACTCGTGTACCTACTTTTATTTTCCGATTTTAAGTAGGTACATATTGCAGAATCCAAATAAATAAATAGGTATATTCTCAATCTGAATCAGTGTTTGTGGATCAGTTATTGGCTATCAGGTGCAACAAAAATATTGGTAAAATTGATATTACAATCAGTAACTCGATTTGTAATCTGATACAATCGAATAATTCAATCACTCGTTCAATCCACCAATCGCTTGGTGCGATCATAGCAACACCACAGCATTATGTTATAGCCAAAATAAATTAAACAATCAACTAAATAAATGTAATATTTTATCAAAAACTTAAATTACCGTAACATAACCTGAAAATGCCTTATTTGGGTGACATACACGATACAAATGAAAGAAAATTAATAATTTAATTAGAATTAAACTGTCAGTAAAAACATAAATGCACTAATTTATTAATTTATACTTATCACAAGTGAAATCTTAAGGGGTGAATAAAGATCCATGGATCGTTTAGGCAAAATAACGAATATATTAGTAGTAACAGCTGAAATTGATTATTTATCTCTTTCACAAAGAGATATTTTTAATGTAAATACTGTCACAATCGCTTTTTTTTTCAGAGGTCAGCCAGCCCTAATAGTGCCAGTGCTAACATTATATTGGATGCAGAATTTTAAGCCTGTGGTCGTTGCACTAGTATTGCTTGCTGTTCTCGCCATTCTGTCCACGGTATGATGATCCCGCGTTGATTGTGTCCAAATAATTGGATTCCTCGTATATGACAAACATGCAAATACTGTACAACTGCGTAAACCCAAACATGTGCCTTAATCCGTTGTCATAAGATCGATCGGACGATTCTGGGTATGCGCATACCTACGTTATAAGTGGTCGTGATTAATACGGAACGAATTATGCGTGAAACGTGACGGTTTCGCGTTCTGAATTCCGATAATTCGAAACTCGAAAGACTCGGCTTAATCAGTCTGGGATTGACGGCAAATATGAGTATGTTAACGAATTGATGCAATCAGAGGTAAAGGAGTATTCCGATGTTTACGAGTAGTACCTATACGAGAACATTTTGCAATTTAACCGACATAATGAAGTTGAAATTTTTACTATATTTGAACCTTGAAATTAAGGAGTAATGTTATAAGTAGGTATAGTAAGATTATATTTATCTGCCTCAAGAGTCAATTTTAGTTGTGTTAAAAACTTTCATGATTTAACACTTGAATTATTGTGCAATAGTGACACACGATTTACGTCGTTTTATCGATAAATAGCTGTCAGAGAAATCCGTAACTTCGACAGCTGTATCATAATATTAGTCAGGGCACTCAGGGCCGCGTGATAAATACGTTTAAATGTTAGGGCTTTGAGTTTTTACGAACAAGTGTAAAAAGCACGCTTATATTTATTTTCGAAATTATAATAATACGCTTTCATATATGAGAAACAGATTTGGGTCTAGTCTAGGAACTCAATGGTACCTACCTATTTTCCATAAATTCCCACGACTGTAAACACTGTAAAAGCTAACTTCAGTGTTCAGTAAGTCCATTACAGTTTTCCGGTCCATACTACAGTTTAATGAAATTTCAGTTCTTGCTGAAAAACTCGGTTAGCGGCAACTCACGCGGAAACGGATGGAGTAACGGTGTTCCGTGTAAACTTATTACGAGAGCACTTCCGGCGGAGAAGCTTAGGATTTTGATTGAAAAGGTTTGTAATAATTTTAGCTACTTACTAATCATTAGAGAAGTAAAGTGATTTATTGAACCTGAATATTACTTACTTTTACTTTATTTTAAAAATTACCTTATTAATAAGTCATTGTAAAAAATTGTGTTTAAATATAAGATTTTAAACAATCGCGTTGCATTTTAACTACAATAGAGAAACACGGGTCTCAACGCATAATTTTTTATACGAGTGACATAAGTTGCTTGTGACCACGGTTGCAGCATAGCAGCCGAAACGTCAAGCCGTACATATGTACCTAACTCATATAAAAATGTCGCGTTGAGACGTTTCTCTGTTGTAATTTGGGTCTTTTATCAAATAAAACTATTTCTTTCTTTCAAGAAGTTTATTGCTATATAAAGACAGATATTTTGTAACGTGCAGCTTCAGCTTTACACCGCACTGTATGACCGCTGCTAATACTTCGTCAGTTTGAAAGGGGCGCTGTATTGCGAGTGACAGCATCATGCATATTCAGCCGCCCTGCCCTAGGGCGGGCTCGGAAAAACTGCAAAAACAGAATCCATGTTTGACGAGCAGTCCCGAAAATTTTTGGGTGAGTGGTGATTATTCTGGGTTACTATAAAAACATCATGAGTTGCTTTAATTAGATACGTTAATTCTGTTTTAAACTTTCATGGTCACTATCATAATTAACATAAAGTGTAATTTTTTGATAGGTTGTATTTGTGACTTGCTGACTGAACTAGAATGAGCTAGCATGAAAATGACTTGGCTTTAAATGTTTTTAAGGGATTCTTAATATTTTTTGATTTTGAGGCCAACTGGTGACATAAGTTATAAATATAATATTAAATGAAGTGTTTCAAAAAGGGGCGCGTAACAGAATTTAATTCTATTGGTTAAAATTCACGCGGGCGCAGACCCAGCAAGTAGCCAGTAACTTATATTCCTTATTTTTTGTAAAGAAAAAATAGTGGACTTTCCTCAATATATTTATAAAAATCGGCGTTCAAAAACTTTGTGCAAAATATATCCAACCCAAATCCATTTATGCTAATACTTTACTCGTATGAATTTACATTGGAATCATATTTGTGGCTATCCACTTTAAACAAAGCGTCAGATGAGGCTGAAATACTGTGCGCGCGTGGCAAACGCTAGGGCGGGCGGGACAAGCAAACGGGCGTACGGACTACTTTACGTTGCACTTGGATGCGCTCTGAATAGTAAAAATACAGTTTTACGTACTTCATACAATCATGAAATGCATGTAAGTATGCATTTGGGAGGATATTTTTGTATACATTTTATTTCTCTTGAGGTCCATATATGATACAGTTATGTGCGTGTTATGATAGCTTGAAACAAAGCTTGTTTGATCAATATTTAATCGTACTTATATTTACTCACTTGTGAGTTCTAAAGTTAGAAGACTTTACGTATAAAACACACAGATCTCCAACGGATTTTTTCAGGCTTAAAATAAAAGCTTAAAGTATGCACTCAGGCTTTAGTCCTTTAGATATCACAGCCATTACAAGACATGCTAATTCAGCGGAAGAAAAAACCGGCAGCGAAACTAAAGTCTTCATAATTTATCGCCGCGAAATAACACTTGGACGCATTTCAATTCCCGACAAAGCGTTGCATAAAACTACAATACTGGGCGGGCGCCGCAAACTGGGCGGGCGGGCCGAGCGAACGGATATACGGAACGCTTTACGATTATTGCTTCCTCCGCGCCCTCTAGTGACACTAGTCGCACTGAATACCGCTTTTATTGTTTATTATTCTTTTAAATGGGTAATGCAGAGAGCTGAGAGCAAATATTCTCGTCGAGTACCCTGTGGAAAGCTTTGAGCATACTTTATGCTTAATAACGGATTTATTGTTATATTCTTTGCGGTTTTCTATTCAAAGTTTTTCTAGTTAGTGATGATAGTTTGCCTTTTTAAATACTTAGCTAATTTGAAATTAATTCAAACCGATATAACAAGTATTATTATCTTCCATATAGAGAAGAACTCATTAAAGAGCCTTTTCAATACACGTCATGATGACATTATCTTTTTAGTGTAGACTGCACAATCAGCACAATGCACAAAGTCGTAAAATTAAAAAAATAAACATTATATTTTACCCATTTCTAAATATTCTTCTTTGTCTAGTAA